TTTTTTTTTTTATGTTTTAAGCTTTGTTTCCCAAAGAAGGTTGTAAAGGCCCTTGAGAGAAAGAACTACATCTTAAATTTATATAATTATTTTTTCAATTTCTCGAGACATGCTACATACACAGTAAAATTAAATTCTAAATATATAAATAAATTTAGTCAAAGTGAACGTGGTGAGGCTATTAATATAATATTTTTAAGGTGGAAATTATTGCATTATTGGGCAATCAAAGAAGTGCTATTGTTCTGTCATTGAAATAACAGACTCTGCTATGTATGCATAGGAATTCTATGAGTTTCTGTTGAGTATTACTTAAGGATATGCCCATATATTCACCTTGATGGTTTGTTTAGTCCCAGCTAGCTCTTGTTATATTTCAAAGATTCTTTCCAAAGCCGGCTTTGTTATTATTGTTACCAGAGATGCTCTTGTTCTCTCTGAAACCAGTCCTGTGATTGCCTGAATAGTAATGAATCTACCACTTTCCACTATGAGAAGACACAGACTTACCAATTTTTCCCCAGTGCCTTAGGGTAAGGAAACTATGACATTTAGTTGCCTTTGAATATTATAATATTCAAATTCAAAAGAACAAAACAAGTCCCAGAAGTTAAGCATCTTGGAAAGCTCGGCATAGCTCCTATGACAGTAGTCCCCTTCAGTATGTCTTTGTATCTTGGGCCCAGCCACTGTTGCCACACTTATCTCCAACCACGGGAAGTGCCACTGTGGTCTTTGCAGCCCTTGTGTCTACGTCTATATGTGTTCACCCTAAATCATTAGAGACAGCAGTAGTCCAGGCTATGGGAACAAGTTGCCTCTGCTAATAACAGCATGATATTTCTATGAATTTTCAGGATTAATGTCCGTCTTGGCAGAAATAAGACCAAAGAATGACTTGGGGCATCCCTTCTGTGATAATTTGAGATCTGGAGATTGGATGATTGACTATGTCAGTAACCGGCTTATTTCGCGGTCAGGAACTATTGCTGAAGTAAGTAAAGCTATGTTCTAGCTGAAAAAAACAAGGACACAAAAATTATATTACTATGGTATCTATAAAATTAACATTGTTTTCTGACCTGAAATATTTCCCTCCCTTCTTCATCATCTTCTGATTCTAATAAATGGAAATCTAGTGGATTATTAGATAATAGATGCATGTTTGGATTTACCTCTTAAAATGCATCCAGCCTGTAAACACACCGAATTAACTTCTAAAATTATTTTTATGACAGGTTGGTAAATGGTTGCAGGCTATGTTCTTCTACCTGAAGCAGATCCCACGTTATCTTATCCCATGCTACTTTGATGCTATACTAATCGGTGCATACACCACTCTTCTGGATATAGCATGGAAGCAGATGTCAAGGTATATCCAACAAAGCTTGAGTAAATAGGCATGCTTGTGTAGAAACTGTATGCAGTCAGTTTATACACACATTTGAAAGACCAAAACGTAAGGAATTGTCATAGACTCAGAGCTGAGAGTCTGTAAGTGGATAATAAATATATTTGCATCCTTTAATCTGGAGCATATAAAAACAAACATCCCCATTAAAATCTGTTCAGTAAAGCTAAAAAAACATGTTCATGAGAAAATTTAATTGTTTTATATTATTTGTTTCTGTTTACTCATTGACTTGTTACATTAATGGATATAAGTTTAGAATATGCATACAAAATATGCCTGGGTAGCTCAGTCAATTAAGCGTCAGACTTCAGCTCAGGTCATGATCTCACAGTGTGTGAGTTCAAGCCCCGCGTCAGGGCCTGTGCTGATAGCTCAGAGCCTGGAGCCTGCTTTGGATTCTGTGTCTCCCTCTCTGTCTGCCCCTCCCCTGCTCGTGCTCTGTCTCTCAAAAATAAATAAAAATGTTTTTAAAAAATTTTTTAAAAGAATATGCATATATAGTTCTTTTTCTAATTTTTCATTAACTAAGAAAAAAATTATTCCGTTATTATGAATGAAATCTGCCTTTAGTGATGAATTTCCCTAAAATGAAATTACAGATCTAATGTGCCACTGAAGAGCCACCAAATTGATTTGGGCATAATTTCAGAAAGAACAGAACTTCAGCCCTTCCTTCCATTTGGCACAACAAGGTCATGGACTTAAAGCCATTTGTAATATTGGGTAAAATGAAAGCAGTTCTGAAATCTAACCAAATTGAAAATGTTTTCAACTAGTATTACCATTTTTACACATCTGCGTAGAGAGACTTTGAAAGAAACCAAATAAAATGACACTGCTAAATAATTTTGAAATAGTAGGTATGCAAGATGAGTAAGTTCTAGAAATGTGCTGTGTACCATTGTGCCTGTAAATAGCAGTATTGCATTGTACACTTAAGATCTGTTGAGAGTAGATTTCAAGTATGTGGTATGAACACCACAATTTTGCATTTCTACAAATAATATTTTTAAGTGTATTTATTATTCGAGAGGAAAGAGAGAAAGAGAGAGAATGTGCACAAGAAGGGGAGGGGCAGAGAAAGGGAAAGAATCCCAAGCAGGCTCAGCACAGAGCCTGACTCAGGGCTCAATCTCACGAACCATGAGATCATGACTTGAGCCAAAATCAAGAGTAAGACACTCAGCTGACTAAGCCACCTAGGTGCCCCTCTACAAATATTTTAAACTCGGTCACTTTGTTACAGCTTTGTTCAGAATGGTTCTACCTTTGTGAAACACCTTTCACTGGGATCAGTGCAAATGTGTGGAGTAGGAAAGTGCCCTTCTCTGCCACGTCTTTCACCTTCACTCATGGATGTGCCATATAGGCTAAATGAGATCACAAAAGAAAAGGAGCAATATTGTGTATCTCTAGCTGCAGGTAAGAAATTACATACAGGTTAAAATGTGTCAGTCAATATTTTTTCAAAGAGGAAAAGCTATGGGGAAATGACTAATTTTTTAAAAAAACTCATGATGTTACCCAAGATTTTATGTGACTGCTTAGTAAAATTCCATAGCTATTCACTTGTAAAACTAACAATTGTGCTTACTATTTAATAAATACTGTGCAACAGACACTTATTTGTGTGTTTTCATTGTGGCTCATTAATCCTTTTCTTCTGCATGTTTCTATTTTTTCCAACTCTGAGTATTTTGTATTTTTTTTTTTTATCAGATTTGTTTTACTACTCTTTTACATTATATTATACTTCTTTCCCAATTTAAAACATTAACTCAAGGGGCACCTGGGTGACTCAGTTGGTTGAGCATCCAACTTCAGCTCAGGTCATGATCTCGCGGTCCATGCCGTGAGTTCGAGCCCCACATCGGGCTCTGTGCTGACAACTCAGAGCCTGGAGCCTGCTTCTGATTCTGTGTGTCCCTCTCTCTCTACCCCTCCCCTGCTTGCTTTCTGTCTCCCTCTCTCTCTCTCTCTAAAAAATAAACAGTTAAAAAAATTAACTCAACCTTGCAAATTACCAAAAGATAATAGGAAGATCCTCTACATGTTACAAAACACAAAACAAATGTTAAATAATTTTTATTATGTGTCTAATTGCAATAAAATTCTTTCAACTCTATTTGTTGGCATCCTTTCCTGCAAGTAGTATTAAAACCTGAATCAAGAAACAAATCTCAGTAAGCAAAATAGGCTAAAGAACAGGCTTTTATTTTCTTTTTAATTTTTTCAAGCTATTTCTAGAAAGTGCTTAATACTTAACACCACTGAATTTAAAACTTTCCAAACTAAACTGAAAAATACCAAATTGCAGGATGAAAATAATAGTAGTTATGTGATTTACTCTGTTTACCCTTAAATTTGCATCTACTCAGACCAAGAAAAAAGACTTCTTAAGACCTGACAACTAAAAAAGAAATTAACTTTTCATTTAGAATGATCATATGAATCCTCTGAATGTTTTAATTATATAATCATGTTTTAGATTTTCACTCAATATCATCTCCTCCTGGTACTTAATTTCCCCTGTGAATTCATGCAGATGCTCATGAAACTGAACTGGGTCATTGTGGAAAAAAAAATGATATGCAGAATTTGGTTTTAAAGCCCACTGCTTAGAAGCCTATTGCACAGTATAGTGATCTCAACATTCTTGACTATGCACTGCTATTGTTAAGCACTCCCAAAATAAATATACTGATATACTGGTATCATAACTGGTATATTGATATGTTATGATATCTGATATAATCTTGTACAGTGTAAAATAAAAATAGAAACTAAAAAGGTAATGGGGCACCTGGGTGGCTCAATCAGTTAAGCATTTGACTTTGGCTCAGGTCATGATCTCATAGTTCATAAGTTCAAGCCCCCCATCAGGCTCTGTGTTGTCAGCTCAGAGCCTGGAGCATTTTATGTGTACATTTTATGTCCTTAGTTTTCCCTTCCTGAAAAATGTGTTGCATTTATGCTTTAGCATAGTTCTTTTTTTGAGTGGAATGCTAATTTCCTTTACTTTTCACTGATCATTGTTTTTGGTACCAATAAAGATAACAATATATTCTTTACTTGTTTTATAAGAAACCAAACTCAATCTAAAAGTTGTAGATTTTATCCATCAATCACCCTATCTTATCTCATGCATAAAGGCTGTAGTTACCTAGAATGTTCAAGTTATTTAGCACCTGAAATCCTTATTTTCATTTATAAAAACTGGCTAACAAAGTCTAACACTTTTAAGTTGTTTTGAATCAATGGGAAATTTGGTATTAAAGTTTGTCTCTAGACTGATCGATTAATAAACATATTTAATTATATATCAGTAAGGTAATCATTTTGTATTTAGAGTAATTTCTTACCTTTAAATTGCAGGTGGAATCTTTTCAAATATATCATTAACATTATATGGCGCAGCTGTCTTTTTCTTGAGCTTATCTGTTCTCATATCTAGAGAGTGTACTTTTCACTTTATTAAACTTTCCCACTTGTGTTACTCAAAATATATATATATATAATTAACACTGTATTGTTTGTTTATATGTTAAATACTAGATCTCTGTTTTCAATTTAGCTTTAACTTATTAAAAGAAAGTTTATCTTTAAAGTTTAAAGACTCACATTCTAATCAATTCAGGTAAGTATCCCTCTCGTCCTTGATTCTTAATATCTTCAAAATCATGGATTCCCTTAAGAAAGTAATAAGAATATGGAACCTCATCACACAAAAGTTGATGTAGGTATAAATACATCACACATTTTGCATATAATTTTAGAGGGCTTGCAGACTCCCTATAGCTTATTCTTGTCCCCCACGCTTAAAGCAACTGGCCTATAGTAATGGAGTTCATAGGGGCTTGGGTGTATTATTAATATATTACTTTGTTGTGTTTTCTATTAGGTTTACCTCATTTTTCTTCTGGTATTTTCCGCTGCTGGGGAAGGGATACTTTTATTGCACTGAGAGGTCTACTGCTGATTACTGGACGCTATTTGGAGGCCAGGTAGGAGATCTCCAAAGAGTTGGAGCACAAGTTTGTGTCTAAATGTTTTTCACATGCTCTTCAAACCTTCCTCCTTGCCAACTATTTGTAACAGTTGGGAGGTAGGTTTTCCTTAGGTGTTTTTTTTTTTTTTAATATTTTTTAATGTGTATTTACTTTTGAGAAAGAGAGAGAAAGAAACAGAGTATGAGGGGGGAGGGACAGAGAGAGAGAGACAGAGAGAGAGACAGAGAGAGAGAGAGAGAATGAATCCGAAGCAGGCTCCAGGTTCTGAGCTGTCAGCACAGAGCCTGACACTGGACTCGAACTCACGAGCTGTGAGATCATGACCTGAGCTAAGTCAGACGCTGAACCGACTGAGTCACCCAGGTGCCCCTATTTTATTTTATACATGTTCATTTAATAAGATCACAGAATTTCAAAGTAGTGAAAATTTTTGAAGTTACTAAGTTCTAGTCCTTCATGTTATAGGTCAGGTTATCTTCAGCATTTGCTAATTGATTTCAGTAAAACTAAAAAATATTTAACCATGTTACTAACATCACTCACTAAAGAATAAAACTTCTATGCCTGAATTAACTATAAGAACTCAGATTCACCTTTAGGTAAAATTTGAATTTTATCATTTTTTTCCTTCTATAATGAACACTGAGTCCTGTAGAAAGAATTGTAGTATCAGCTTTTCCTCTCTCTGTTGTCAGGCCTTGGAACCTCCAGTTTTATGTTTTTTTAGATTTAAAATAGTGTTTCTTAGTGTCACAATCGTATGAATGGAACTACCAAAGGCAGAAAAGAGAGGCTATTATAGCAGTGCTGCTCAAATGAGCACAATTCAGTGCCACCAACCAGCAGTGTCACCATCATCTGAGGACTTGTTAGAAATGTAAATTCTTGATCCTTATGCTGGACCTCCGAATGTGGGGATAGAGAGGGCAGAGTACCAGGTAGAAATCTGTGTTTTCCAGGTGATTTTCAGCAGCCCAAGGCTAAAGTTTGACAGCACTGCTCTACAAGTTAAAACTTGCAGCAAAAAAAGCATTTATATGATAACTTGTTTTGATGACATTCAGAAAATAACTGTCATTGCCTCTTCAAATGACAAAAGTTTTGTTTTCAATCCTTTTAAAATTGAAAATTTCTAAGTAGGCATCTGAAATGTATCATATTCTTCCCTGCTAACCTAATATAATAAGATCATTTCTTATTGACTAAAGAGACCATTGTGGGGCTGTAGAGATTTGGGATGCTGTTTGCTTCTTCCCCAAATGCTCTAAATTACCATGATTAAAAAGTAGGAAATGGAACATCAGAATTCAGCACAATGGCTAAGAAATTGGGTTTCAGCCAGACTGCCAGGTTCTAATCCTGGTTCCAAACTACCAGCTGACACATTATTTATCTTTGTTGTACTCTCCGTAAAATGGTGATAGTACTTAACCTACAGGGGTTTTGTGAAGATTAAATGAGCTATACAGTTATAGCATCTAGAACAGTATCTGTCACATACGTTACACAAATGTTAATTTTTTAATCATTATTATCATTTTCATTGTTATCTGGGCTCTCAATTATCACTTCTATATACTACCAACAATTTCTCCTTCTCAATTTCACATATGACTGTCTAGATCAGGGGTCAATGAAATATGGCCTACCGCCTATTTTGTATCACCTGGGGCAAAGAATAATTTTTACCTTTTTAAAGAGTCATTTAAAAAAGAAGAATACATGATTGAGACCATATATATGGCCAACAAAGCCTAAAATATTTACTTTCTGGTCCTTTATAGAAAAAAGGTTGCCTACCCTGATCTAGATGATTCCAAGAGGATAATGTATGTGTTAGGGTAGTACTAGCTGCTATATAAATTATAAACTCTTAGGGCACATGGGTGGCTCAGTCGGTTAATCATCTGACTTTGGCTCAGGTCATGATCTCATGGTTTGTGAGTTCGAGCCTCACATCAGGCTCTGTGCTGATGGCTTGGAGCCTGGAGCCTGCTTTGGATTCTGTGTCTCCCTCTCTCTCTCTCCACCTCCCCCGCTCACACTCTGTCTCTTTCTCTATCTCAAAAATAAATATTAAAAAAAAATGTTTTTTCTTTATAAACTTAAATGGTTTTTCACAGACGAAATTTATTTCTTGCTTCTCGCCCCAAATGGGTGTTCAGGAGGCAGCTTTCCACATAGTGATTCAAGGATACAGGCTCCTTCATCTTGAGAATCGACCATCTCCCAGGGCCTCTGAGTACTACTCTCCAATCAGCTGGCAAAGAGGGAAAGAGCCTAAGGAAAATGCACCTGTTCTGTGTACTTAACATACATCAGTTCCATTCACATGTTTGCCTTAGAATCCAGTAATCTGGTCACAGCCAGCTCTAAAGTAGGTTGGGACATGGGGGAAAGCCATTTTGGTGGACACATGGCTATCTCTACCACAGAGAGTTCTACTTCCTCCTTCTGCAGAGATATTCATGGACAGAAGTCTTTGTATTCAACTTTCAAGTGTGTGACATTGTTCTGGATGGCTAAGATTGCTGCATTCTGACCTTTTATTAATTGGAACTGTCACTATCCATACTAACACTTTTGTGCTGCAGGATATAAGAAGGATTTTTATTGCACTATTATTTAAGAGACAGGCATTAAACTGAGACACAAAACTAATTAAATTTCCAAATGGTTTAGCCAAAAAGCACTGAGACATTTTAAATGACTTTTCCTAGGTCATACAGATGGCAATGCTAGGTTTTAAATCTCAGTCTTCTTATTTCTTACGTCTTAGATTTTAGAATGCAATATGCCATCTTACGAAGTTGTCATTTGGTATATGACAGTACAATAATACTTTAAAAGATGTATTCTCTACCAGTTTTTGAAAATAAATCATGATTTTCAAGGTCAACTTTTACTCATTTATTTTCTTACATATTTGCTTTGCTCTTCATATCTTCATATTTGCTCTTCATATCTGCTCTTCATATCTGCTAGTTCATTTCATAGTTACTTAGATTTTGAAATACCACAGATTTCAAAAGTAGAATCTAGAGATATGAGGGGCCCTAAAAACCACCCAGTCCAATCCCTAAATCCACAGATAAAAAAAACTATCCCAGAGAAGGTAAGATTGTCAGAGAAAAAGCCAGGGCTAGGATCAAGGTTTCTGGCCTTTAATTCAGTGCTTGATGTATCATATTATGGCCACTTCTCCATGAAATTTCAAAGAAGGGCAGAAATAGTAGTCACAAAAAGGGACTTAAAAATTTTTAACTGATTGTTTTCATATCAAATGATCCACCTAATTCTGTTGTTTTAGGAATATTATTTTAGCATTTGCTGGTACCCTGAGACACGGTCTCATTCCTAATCTCCTGGGCGAAGGAACTTATGCCAGATACAATTGCCGGGATGCTGTGTGGTGGTGGCTACAGTGTGTTCAGGATTATTGTAAATTCGTTCCCAATGGCCTAGACATTCTCAAGTGCCCAGTTTCCAGAATGTATCCTACAGATGATTCTGCTCCTTTGTCTGCCGGCACACTGGTAAAAATCATCTTAAAATAATTTCTTTTTCCCGAAAAATGACTTCTAGCTCTAAAAGTGTATAAAATATAAAAGTGCATGTAATTAAGAATCCAGATCTGAAGAATTCAAGTATTGGTATTTGTTTAGCACCTGCTAGGACTTTGAAAGATTGCAGTGATAAGACTGCTTCTTATCTTCAAGTGCAAGTTCAAACTTCAAGTTCAAGGAAGGAACTTGCAACATGGTAGAAAAGATAACATATACATATTATGGTCATTACAAAAAGGTGTATAGGAAATGCCATGCATAAAAGAGAGAGAGAGAATCTAATAGGTAGTTGGTTCTTAGTGAGGACTTCATAAAGTAGCTAAAATTTCACCTCAACTGAACCTTAAAGGGGGAGTAGGATTTCAGCAGAGATGAGGGAAGTTGTGAGAAAACATCAAAGATGAAAGGAAAAATAAAGTGCAGGGTGGATTGAAGCACATTTAGGACATGCTGCTGAGTCTAGTTTGACTTTTTGTGTAGGGCACCTGCAAGGTAATAAGAGATAGTGGAAAGGGTGAACAAGGTTGCGGAGAGCCTGATCACCAAACCACAATGCCCTTACCTTGTGAACAGTGCAGAAAAAATAAACGTTTTGAATGGTTTTCTTCCCAGTCAATAATGTACAAAGATTATGTACTTTTGCCATTTCTGATCCACCTTTATATTATAGTTTGTTTGGTATGTGATTGTGGAGAACTTCTAAACCATCTTAAAGTTAGCAGAGATCTGTGCCCCCATGATATTTTTGTCATGAAATATTCAAAGAACATTTGTCAAAAAAAGTTTTTACCTAAAGTGTCACTTTACCATGTAATTTATCCCTGTTACTATATATGTGGATGTGTAAAAACAGCAATGCCAATTTAGATTTCTGTAGCTTCTGTAGAAGCTAGATACATTTATTATCTGCACAGTTCACTTGAACAGAAACTATACAAACTCACAAGATTCATTTTCATGTGTCAGCAAAATTACAAACTATTTCATATCACAGACATGAATAGTCGAAACTACAGTATGTTAAACATTCATATGCCAGAGGCTGACTGTTTAATGTGGGGTATAGGAGCTTCCTTCCCCAGTCCCACCCCATTTCTCTTCCAGAGGAAAATATGTTTTCACAAAACTACAGTTGTGGGATTTGGGAAAAGGTAAGAAAAATGCAGTTTCTAACAAAAATAACATCCATTGTATCCCAAACAGGATCAGCCATTGTTTGAAGTAATACAGGAAGTAATGCAAAGACATATGCAGGGCATACAGTTCCGAGAAAGGAATGCTGGGCCACAGATAGATCGAAACATGAAGGATGAAGGTACATAACTTTACATAGTAAAGATTTACTGATGAGGTGGAATTAAACCTTGTAATTATTCATGTATTTTTTTAAGTTTGTTTTAAGAGAGAGAGAGAGCAGGGGAGGGGCAGAGAGAGAAGGAGAGAGAGAGAGAGAGAGAGAGAGAGAGAGAGAGAATCCCAAGCAGATTCCGCATTGTCAGCACAAAGCCCATTGTGGGGCTCTATCCCACAAACTGTGAGATCGTAACATGAGCTGAAACCAAGAGTCAGACGCTTAACTGACTGAGCCACCCAGGAGCCCCTAATTGTTCATGTATTTGACAAATATTTTATTTGTGAAACTTCAAAATATAACAATGAGAAAGATTAACACAGTTCCTGATCTCACCGGTTTAGTTTTAGTTTCTAGAGGAAAGATAAAATTGTGTATCTTTTTAGTTTTGTACCTTTTTGCCAGCCAATTTAAAAGGTAATTTTGGTGGTTGCATTTATAAGCATAATAAATGAGGGCTTACTATGTGATGGGCATTGTGCTAACTACTTTACCTATGTTATTCCCATTTAACACTCCCAAGAACATTGGGGATGCATTATATTGTTCCCAGGTGTATTGATAAGATGACCGAAGCAGAGTAGCTTGCCCAGAGTCACACAGCTACTAAGTGGCAGAGCTAGGATTTTGTCCACCATCTTTCTCTGTAACTTAGGCTCTTATAAGATTCTTTTTGTAAAAAGCTTTGTCTACAGAGTTAAAATAGATCTACTTTTTTAACCTCTTTTATCATGTTCCTATTTTTATGGCACACTATCATCATCAGCCAATGCAAGGCTAATGACAATTTATTTTATTATCCATTCCCTCTAGAGACATTCCATACAGGAAGTAATATAAAGACACATGCAGGGCATACAATACATGTACATTTGCTGTATATTTATATATTGTTCTGTGAAACATATACTGCTTTGTGTGCATGTAGATTTTAACTTTTTAATTTTGAAAGAATTAGAGATTGATAGAAAGCTGTAAAAATGACACATAAGAGTATACTGAGGCCTTCATCCAGCTACCCCAATGAGGATATCTTATCTATTTTATCTATATCTTACTGTAATACAGTATCAAAATCGGGAAGCTGACATTAGTTCAATACTGTTAACTAGACCATATTCAATTTTCACCATTCTTATATTAACTCATTTGTGTGTGTACATGTGTGTGCATGGCTCTGTGTAATTTTGCCCCATGTGTAACTTCATGTAATCGCTACCACAATCAGTATATAGAAATGTCTTCTTTGTGCTACCCCTTAAGAGTCACACCAACAATCCCTGGTCTCTGGCAACTACTAATCTGTTCTGCATCTCTATAGTCTTGTCATTTTTTAATTTTTTAATTTTTATTTTTTTAATATAATTTATTGTCACATTGGCTTATATACAGTACCCAGTGCTCATCCCAACAAGTGCCCTCCTCAATTCCCTTCACCCATTTTCCCCTCTCCCCTACCCCCCCATCTACCCTCAGTTTGTTCTCTGTATTTAAGAGTCTGTAGTTTTGTCATTTTAAGAATGTATATAAATGGAATCATATAGCATGTAAATTTTTGAGATAAGTTCTTTCACTAAGCATATTCCCTTTGAGGTCCATCCAAGCTGTTGCATGTATCAGTAGTTTATTCCTTTTTATTGCTCAGTAGTATTCTCTTTCCTGGATGTAACATTCATCTGTTGAAGGACATTTTGGTTATTTCCATTTTTTGGTTAATATAAATAAAGCTAATATGAACATTTATATACAGGTGTTTGTATGAACATAAATTTTTATTTCTCTGGGACAAATGCCTGAGAATGTGATTGGGTCATATGGTAAGTATGGATTTTGTTTTATAAGAAACTGCCAAACTATTTTCCAAAGTGGTGTACCATTTTACATTCCCTTCCGCAAACTTGAGAGATCCAGCTTCTCCACATCCTCAGCAGCATTTGACGTTAATCACTTTTTTTAAGCTGTTCTGATAGTTGGGTACACCACTACCCATTGTGGTTTTAATTTGCATTTCCCTAATGACCAATGGTATTGAACATCCATTCATGTGCTTATTTGCCATTTGTATCTCTTTTGGATGAAATGTCTGTGTCTTTTGCCCATTTTTTAATTGGAGTGTTGGTTTTTTCCACTATTGAGGTTTCTTGTGTATGTAGCAAAATCCACATAACATGTTTAGCATTTTACCATAAAATGTATCATTTTAAGTGTACAATGGCTTTAAGTACATTCACGTTATTATGAAACCATCATCACTATCCATCTCCAGAACTTTTCATCATCTTAAACTGAAACTCTGTGCCCAGTAGACAATAACTCCTCATTCCCTCCTCCCTCATCCCTAATAACCACTATTCTACTTTGTTCCTCTGTAAATTTGACTATTCTACATGCCTCATGTACATGGAATCATGCAGTATTTGTCCTTTTGTGTCTGGCTTATTTCACTTAGCATTGCTGTATCAGAGCTATATATACTATACTCTTATGCTCTTTGATTAAGTACTACCAAATTTGTTTCCATAATTATTATGCCAGTCTGTATTCCCACTGACAATCAAAGTGGCTTCTTCTGGGGCGCCTGGGTGGCGCAGTCGGTTAAGCGTCCGACTTCAGCCAGGTCGCGATCTCGCGGTCCGTGAGTTCGAGCCCCGCGTCGGGCTCTGGGCTGATGGCTCAGAGCCTGGAGCCTGTTTCTGATTCTGTGTCTCCCTCTCTCTCTGCCCCTCCCCCGTTCATGCTGTGTCTCTCTCTGTCCCAAAAATAAATAAAACATTGAAAAAAAAAATTTAAAAAAAAACAAAGTGGCTTCTTCTGTGCCCACCCACATTGTCCACTAATCTCATGGGTGTAAAGCAATATGTAATTGTTCTTACTTGTGATTCTCCTATCACTGGTGAATTTGAGTATTATTCATATGTTAATACCTTTTTAGAAAGTTTCCTTTTCTATAAATTGTCCTTTCATGTTCTTTGCCTTTATCTTTCTTTTAGCATTCCTGTATTTTTCTTGTTGATTTCAAGGGGTCCTCATATATTCTACAGCAATAAACTTTTATGTGCAATCTGATCATCTTTTCTTTCCATATCTCCTACAACATCCTTCAAATTTATTTGAGTTAGTTCAATGAGCTAATCTCATTTATTTGTTACTTATGAAACCTCTCAGAACACTGGCTAGTAAAAAGTGATCTATAAGTTGCTATTGTTGTTTTTATTGTGATGTGAACACTATCTTCAAGTGTTTTTCTTTTTTCTTTTTAATTTTTTTGAATGTTTATTTTATTTTTGAAAGAGAGAGAGATAGAGTGGGGTAGGAGCACAGAGAGAGGGGGAAAGAGAGAATCTCAAGTAGGCTCCATGCTGTTAGCACAAATCCAGACACTGGGCTCAAACTCAACGAACCATGAGATCGTGACCTGAGCTGAAATCAGGACGCTTAACCGACCTAGGCACCCAGGCACCCCTTAAAGGTTTTATTTTTAAGTAGTCTCTTACCCAACATGAGGCTTGAACTCACAACCCCAAGATCAAAAGTCCCACACTCTACCAATTGAGCCAGACAGGCACCCTGCTTCTTTTCTTTTTATAGTGGTTAGATTCATCTGGTATCTAATGTTTTCTTCTTCTCAATAAGCTCATGTTCCCTTGATTAGTAGTAACTCCATACAGCTCTGAAAACAGGCAATCTCATTAGCTTATAACACAACAACATTAAAAGCCTAGATAGAGTGAAAGCCCAAGAGTGGCTGGTCAGGTTTCACTTGTTTTTGTCAGTTTCTCCCAAAAATTATGTGAATTCTTCAAATCAGTACCTCACATTCAGTTCTGTAGTTTCTCTAGGGGTGATTTTGGGGAGAGATCCCATAGCCTGGGATATTTTGCCATTTCATCAGAAACTACAAAAATATGATTTCTTTGGTACTTTTTTTGTACATTTGAAGCAACCTGTCCTTTTACAGTTATTTTAACCCATGTACCTTTTTGTGTATGTTTCTCTTGCTCCACTAAATCTCTGAGAGGGAAATCACTAACCATTGATTATCCAATTATTGCCATGTATTTAATATCCAATTATTGTCATATATTTAATATCAGATAAATTAAAAGCCTCCTTGCCTTTGTGTATTACTTTGCAAACATTTTCCAGAGGCTAGTACCTCTATCCCTAGCTCACAGTTCAGGAAATAAGAAGGGGAGGCAGACAAGTAGTTTGCCCAAGGACATGGATAGTCCATTAATAAACATGGGAGAAGCATTCAGTCAGTCTTACTGGCACTCAAACAAATTCATATTAAAGTCGGTCACCATTTTTCCTCTACTAAATTATCATGAGACAACAGAGCGTGAATGAAAGCGCCAATGCTAGATGCAGACTTGCTATCTTAAAAATCCCATCTCTGCTCATTTTCTAGCTGTGTTCCCTTGGATAAGTTTTAACTTCTCTTTGCCTCTCTCTTCTACATTTGTAAAAGGGAGATAATAGCAGCACCTATCCCCTAAGGTTGATACAAGGATTCAATGAAATATGTATGTTAAAGCACTTAGAGCAATACATGGCACATAGTGAGTTCTATAAGTCTACTGTTTATTATTAGCAGAAAAACCAATGTATTCATTTGCTGGGACTAGGATAACAAAGTACCACACACTGGGTGGCTTAAATGACAGAAATATATTGTCTATCAGTCCTAGAGACTAGGAGTCCAAAATTTAGGTGTTGGGAGGGTTGACTCAACCTTCGGTCTATGAAAGAAGGATCTGTTCCAGGTCTTTCTCCATGGCTTGTAGATGGCCATATTCATGCTTACATGGTGTTCTCCCTGTATCTTCACATCAGCTTCCTTCTGTGCATTGTCTATGCACAAAATTCCTCATCTTATAAGGATACTGGTCAAACTGGATTAAAGCCCAGGCTAATGCCCTTATTTTAACGTGATTAACTTTTTTAAAAAAAATTTGTTTTTACATTTATTTATTTTTGAGAGACAAAGACAGAGCACAAGTGGGGGAGGGGCAGAGAGAGAAGGAGACACAGAATCCAAAGCAGGTTCCAGGCTCTGAGGTGTCAGCACAGAGCCTAATGCAGGGCTCGAACTCACAAACTGAAATCATGACCTGAGCCAAAGTCGGACGCTTAATCGACTAAGCCACCCACGTGCCCCAAATGTGATTAACTTTTTAAATTCCTGTGTGCAAATAAAGTCACATTCTGATGTACTGGGGTTAAGATTTCAACATATGAATTTGGGCATTTACACAATTCAATCCATAGCAAACAGTAACAATAGATTTTAGTTTTGAGAGATATTCAGATACTACTGATGGTATTGCAAATTGACTCATTCTTCTTCAAAAGCAACTTGGAGAGAGAGAGAGAGAGAGATCCACATATATTTTATGAGATACAAAATATTCACATGTTTTTGTTCATAAATGTATTCCATTTCTGGGAATCTAGTCTATGAAATAACCTAAAATACAAAAAGTCCATATTACATGATACTGATCATAACTTTGCTTATAATCACAGAAAAGAATAAAATAATTATGTCTAAGAGGAAATGTTTAAATTGACTTCATTTGTTTTGTTTTGATGTTTATTTGAGAGAGAGAATGTGTGTATGAGAGGGGGAGAGGCAGACAGAGGAGGAGAGAATCCCCACATGGGACTTGATCCCATGAACTGTGAGATCACATGAACTGTTGAGATCCCATGAATTGTGGATCACTGAGCTACCCAGGCGCCCCTGTTTACATTTACTTGAATGAAAAATTCAATAATTTGTAATGATTATAATTTTTATAATTTGTGTAATATTATTTGAATATTAAGAACTATATGGGTGTTGAATCTAATACATGAAAAATAGTTGGATTTATTTATGAAAATATTACTATTCTGTGAAAAGATTAGAAAGGAATACATAAATGTAATAGTTTTTGTTAGGGTAATAGGATTATGGATTCTTGTTGCTCTTTTTTTAAACACTATTGTTTTTACTGTAAAATGATCATCTTTTTAAGTGATCTATTTCAGCTATTTCAGATAACTCACTAAGTCATTGGCAAATTTTGACGTAAACTCAAAAACTTATATTCCTTCTTGCATGTTCTAAATTACATTTTAAACAGTAGTTAGGGACGCCTGGGTGGCTCAGTCAGTTAAGCATCCAACTTTGGCTCAGGTCCTGGCCCATGTCGGATGAGTTTAAGCCCCATATCAGGTGAGCTGGAGCCCTGCTTCGGGATTCTCTCTCTCTCCCTCTCTTTCTGCCCCTTGTGGGATTCTCTCTCTCTCCCTCTCTGCCCCTCACTCACTCAAGCTCTCTCAAAAAAAAAAAAAAAAAAAAAAAAAAAAAAAAAGGTAAAACCTCATTTAGTTAATTTATTGTTTGTGGTGGTAACATACAAATTGTATACATGATTGAACTGGTAAAAATCACTGATACTTTTTTATCTTTCAGTTAGGACACTAAATAGATATAGATTTTATACTTAAAAGAACATTTTTTGTGATATCTCTGAATTATTTTAATTTTTAGATTTAATTGTAAAACATTCCAGTTAGAGAAAAATTTAAATTACACCTTGAAACCTAGAAATAAAATTAGGCAGATATTAACATTTGATCATATTTTCTTCAGATCTTTCTGTTTTGTGTTGAAAATAAACCATCAGAATTGTATGTAGAGCTTCATCTCTCTCTCTCTTCCCTCCCTCTCTATAATTAATGACTATGCTAGAATCAGGGTTTACTATTTCCATTTATGTTTTGAATTTTATGAGTTTGTGTTTGAGTATGTGTAAATTACATATGTATTATGTAGTATATATTCAGTATATTATATAGTATGTATTCAGTATATTATACATTATATATGTATTCAGACTATAATATATACACATAACTATATGTTTTAAATATTATCATATTAGACATAGTCATATAGACCTATATGAATATATATATTAGTACTGTCTATATTTTAAACTTTTAAGAAAAGGTATCTTATGCATATCCTGTTGCAACTTGTTTGCTCAATCATTTTGTTTTGGGGTTTTGCACATTATGATTCATGTAGATCTAGTTCATTAATTTGAAATGGTATAGAGAGTTTTACACTGTATGAATAAACCACAGTGTTTATTCACTTCTCTGCTCAGCAGTTATTTATTTTCTTGCTAATACAGTGTTGCATTGAATATCCTTGTGCATACCTTCATATGCACATGGGTAAAGATTTCTCTAAAGTATGTGTCTAGAAGTGAAACTACCCTATGGTAGAACATACATGTTTTCAGCTTTTAAGGCATTAGCACAGTGCTCTCCAGAGTAGTTATCCTAGTTTGTTGTATTCCTTTCAGATTTTATAAATGTTTTATTTTGCTTTTCTAGGCTTCAATATAACCGCAGGTGTTGACGAAGAAACAGGATTTGTTTATGGAGGAAATCGCTTAAATTGCGGCACATGGATGGATAAAATGGGAGAAAGTGACAGAGCCAGAAACAGAGGAATCCCAGCCACTCCAAGGTAGTATTTATTTGTATTGTGCATATATAATTATACCCTTTTTAAAACCACATACTTATGGAATCTTTTATTCTATTAACCACGAAGTCTTCATATTAAATCGGTCAAAATCTCCCTCCCTTCATCCACTCCCTCCTCTCCCACAGCACACACACACAACTCTCTTGTTACAAGTCATCAAGGAAAGCTGTCTGTTCTTTTCAGGGAGTTCTCGTGGGGTGATTCCCCACAAGCACCTCAAAGGAGTGATTCATTATTATTATGATTCCTTATCCCTGTGGTTAAGATCTTAACCTAAAATGCTTTCATTGTAAACATTTCATTATGCCCATCTTTCATGCATATAGAAAACACCCCATTACCCAGTCCTTTTTGAAATACTTTTAATTTCTGAACCTTTTATCCTCCTAAATTTTTTTGTCTTTTCTCCCATTATTTCTTTTTATGGTTTTAAATGCTTAATATAGTATCAAGTCTGAGAAACTCTTTTCTTCTTCTAAATTTTATCTTCAGTCAGAACTGTGAAAAAAATCATTTAATTATAGCTGTTGTTACATGCTTTGTGAACTCTTTTTTTTTTTTTAATTTTTTTTTCAATGTTTTTATTTATTTATGGGACAGACAGAGACAGAGCATGAACGGGGGAGGGGCAGAGAGAGAGGGAGACACAGAATCAGAAACAGGCTCCAGGCTCCGAGCCATCAGCCCAGAGCCTGACGCGGGGCTCAAACTCACGGACCGCGAGATCGTGACCTGGCTGAAGTCGGACGCTTAACCGACTGCGCCACCCAGGCGCCCCGTGAACTCTTTTTAAAGCATGTTTACTTCGGTACGTTATTAGGTCTCATACTTCCCTTTCATTTTCCTTAAAAATGAGCTTTCAGGGGCACTTGGGTGGCTCAGTCGGTTGAGCATCCAACTCTTGATTTCAGCTTGGGTCATGATCCCAAAGTCAAAAGCCCCGCTTCGGGCTCTGTGCTGGGCATGGAGCCTGCTTAAGATTCTCTCTCTCCCTCCTCCCTCTGCCCTGTTCCCCAACTTGTTCTCGCTTTCTCTCTCTCTCTCTCTCTCTAACTCTCTAAAAAAAAACAAAAAACAAAAAAAAAAAAACCACACTTTCAAATTACTAAGTATACTTTCCCTGGCTTTCTCCAGTCCTTCTATCCCATATTTTCTGTCTTTGGTACTCTGTTTCAATATTCTCTGATGCATTCCCTACCTTTTCCAGCTGCCATCTTCTTTAACTCCATAATCACCATTCCACTTCACGGAACTTTTTTTAATTGTTAAGTAGGTAAGCAATGGCAAAATAATTAGAGGAGAGATTTCTTATGTATGCAGTATACATTTCAATAAAGTGAGGGGCTTTTCATAGTTGTTTTTATAACATATTAATTATATAATTCATCAGAATTATTTATTGAATGCCATTTAAGTAGTGCTTAAATGACTCCAACCCACAGAGTAAAATTTATTTTAATTTTAGAGATGGGTCTGCTGTGGAAATTGTGGGCCTGAGTAAATCTACCGTCCGTTGGTTGCTGGAATTATCCAAAAAAAGAATTTTCCCTTATCATGAAGTCACCATAAGAAGACATGGTAAGCTGTGCATTTTATTTAAAAAGAAACTTCAAATGTACAGTCTATACTCTTAGTCTACATAATCATCATTTGACTCAATGAACTAATATTAGAAAACTCTTAAGAGAGGAAAGAAAGAACATTAATTTCCTACTATGAAATTGTAACAAACCTGGTTACTAACCATATTTTTATAGCAGCTTTGAACTGAGATATGAAAAACATCATGGTTAATTGCCTTATTATGCTTTCTTTTCCTTAATGTGACTGTAAGCAAGTTGCATTTTTGTGAACACTTAGGAAATCTTTACATCTCTTTTTCTAGAGCTATCTGTCCAAAAGAAATATAATTTTAAATTTTCTAGTACTCACATTAAAGTAAAATAAAAAGAAACAGGTGAAACTAATTATGATAATATACATTATTAACTCAATATGTGCTAAATATTATTTCACCATGTAATAAGCATGAAATTATTCATGAGCCATTTTACATTCTTTTGTGGGGAGAGTATTTTCTGTGAAATCCAGTGTATATTTACACTTCTGGCACTTCTCAATTCAGAGTAGCCTCATTCCAAGTGCACAGTAAATGTAACTTTATCAAACACGTTAAGAGTGATACAAAGACAAATCAGGAATCATTTACTGGAGTCTAATTCTTTTTGGTAATATAACAAAAGATAATTTTAATTTCAAGCTAGAGTCCTTCAAAAGACCCTGACAGTTGTAAGAAGTGGGTAATTTATTGCCTAAATATTACTCTTTGGCTGTAACTAAATGTATGGATTTCTTTGAATGCTTAAAAACTGCCAAATCTTTTATCATGTTTCAGGAAAGGTTGTGACAATCTCATACGATGAGTGGAACAGAAAAATACAAGACAACTTCGAAAAGCTATTTTATGTGTCAGAAGACCCTTCAGATTCTAACGAAAAGCATCCTAATCTGGTTCACAAACGTGGCATATACAAAGATAGCTATGGAGCTTCAAGCCCGTGGTGTGACTATCAGCTCAGGCCTAATTTCACCATAGCAATGGTTGTAGTAAGTGAATTGCTACTTTCAAATTTCAAAAACGTTGTGGTAGAGTGTATTTAGTTCTTTATTCCCATTTGTTTTCAAATTCATGTAGTTGCCAAAAAGTATATTGTTTACTAGCTAGTTTTATACCACCCTTAACCTATGACATTTGGTATCAAAAAACAGAAAATAATAGATGATGACTAATGGAGTGCTTACCAATGTTTTTCTTATCATAGCACACATAGAAAATAACGATATTTATACAGTACATTGGTCAAAATTGATTAGGTTGATCATGCCAGATCCAACTGCTTCAGTTAGCCCCAGGCCCCGCCCAACTTGAAAGCTGATGGCATCCGTATTTGGGCACACCTGTGCTGTGACCAGTGAGTGCCTCAGCATACAAACTGAAAAGATCTAGACTGGTGAACTAATGAAAGTTGCTTCAACTCATATTCTGTTTCCTTGTTGTATTGCTGCAATTCACTCTAGAATTCTAGACTCTATTTTACCTCTTAGTCTAAAAATAAACTGTAAGAACAGTAAAATAGAGATGGTATGTGTTCTTCCATGACTACATAGCTGTCTCCACCTTGTCAAAAAAAGCACTAAACATGGAACTATAAATTATAGTAGAATAAAAGCTGCAAAAAAAGAATAAAAAATGCAAAGGTACATAAAGATAGCTTCTACTCAATGTGCATTTGATTTCATTTAACCATTACAATAAATGCAGATTCTTAGCCACCAGTGTTTTCTCTCCTCCATATCACAAGTACATTTACTTGTGCTGTTAGAGTGTAAGTCATTCTGTATTTTACTATGACCCCAAAAGCAAAAAATGACTACCAGATATACTTAAAGGAAGCTATTGCAAACATCCTGAAAAATGAATTAGATGGGTTTAAGTGTGTTCTGCCTTCACTGTAGCTGAGGCAGCTTCCTTTTGGAGCTCATAACTTTCTTAAAATGACACAAGGAAATAATCACATCTAACAGCTTTGCTCACTTCTAAGGCCAAGAGCAGCGCACCCACATCAGCCCCATAGCATTAGATCCAGTTAAGCTTCTGCACTTGAAATGAGTTCTGATGCACACTGTATTTTTAAACCGTTTTCATTTCTGAGTTTATGAATAGTTTATGTTCCACTGTGGGTGGAAACTAATTCTTTTGTGATCTTAAAAAGTTTGAATATTCACTTTTGATATTCATTAGGCCCCTGAGCTCTTTACTGCAGAAAAAGCATGGAAAGCTTTGGAGATTGCAGAAAAAAAATTGCTTGGTCCCCTTGGCATGAAAACTTTGGATCCAGAGTAAGTTGGAGTATAAATATTAAGAATATTATTCATATTATATTTAATATATAATTATATTTATATTTAATCTTGGCATGAAAACTTTGGAACCCCAAGTACGTTGGAGTGTAAGTATTAAGAATGTTGTTGTTGGGGTGCCTGGGTGGCTCAGTCAGTTGAGCATCCGACTTC